TCTATTCTGTGGAAACAGTCTTAATGAGATTGGTTATATCCACCACATCCTGACGTGGTTTAACTTCCCTGTGACCCTTAATCCTTCAAAATATGCAAGGTGTACACAATGTGAATGACTTCTACAATGTTTTAAAACACAATGAAACCAACTAATTTTTTTTAACAAACTTCTGCTGGTAATATGGATACCAGAGTTAGATATGATGGACAAAACACTGTTCAAATCCTATTAATTGCTTGCTGTGTTTTTTGACCTTTTATAGTTTGTTCAGTAGAAGTAGGTACATTACACATTGTTAGATTTCACATGGAAGCCACAGAAAAAACAACAGAGAAAGCAGCTGAGAATAGTCTCAAAATATCTGAGTTATGTGAACTGTAATTTCTGGTTCTATAACTTGCTTCTACAAAATAATATATGCCTTTCTTTTATTTAAAGGCTCAGACTAGCAGCTACTGTTCATCTGCATGGCTGCTAAGATGCTCCCCCTGTAAGAATTTCTTGGAGGAAGAGCATTGTTTATTACACAATTAAGTTTTGCTGTCAGGAAATTCCTAGTATGAAAATTCATTTCCTGTTGTCAGAAAAAAATGTAACAACTCTTAAAAACAACAGCAAGGTCTTCGTTTTCCAGTAAAACATCCACAGCCATTTCTGAAAAATGGAAGAGGTCCACTATGGCTGCAGACATACTTTGGTCAATCACTTTGCTTATAGAAAGATTGGTTTTTTTAATTAGTAGAACCAAGTGATATAAAGTGACATACCACCGGGAAGATATTTATAAACAGTATAAAATAAGCTACTGTGGTATCATGGCTAAGTATGACAAAGTTGTCTAAGGACATACTGTATTAGAGGTAGGTGAAAAGGGGGAGATGATTCTGTAACCGTCAAATATCCCATGATTGTCCGTCCATTCATGGTTTTTCTTCTTCCTTTTTTGCAGACACAGAGGGCTTATAACAATTCTAATGTTTCATTTCTGCGACATACTAAGATCACCCCACTGTCACATAGAGCAGTGCACAACTTCATTTGGTCCAAATAGGCAGATTCTGCCCATAACTTGAGACTGTATGCAAGTACATTGAAGCCTTGGCTTCTGTCTATCTAGGTAGACCTAATACTAGTATGTCAACAATGGCTTACTGAGACCTCTTTTTAAGAAGATCATAACCACAGGTTAACATTTCTTTAGTAAGCACTGCTTAAATGCTGATGGTCTCTGAGAAAGAAGACATCCTTTAGCTAGTTTTCCATGCCCATCTTGGCACTGGACAGTCCTGGTGTGCCATCCTGTGTCACATGTTCGAGAACAAGAAAGCCAGGGTCCAGTCACCCACTGTAGTTGTGTGAGGTGTGGTGTTACTTTATTACTGTTGCCACTGCTTGTGACATAGTTAGTCATTTGTGTTTGCTTCTTTGGCACAAAGAAACTGTAACGGACATCCACTGCTTTAGTTGGGTCAGTTGCAAGAATCTGGACTATAAGAATCTCCTTTGTGGCAGAATGTCCCATTGCATGCAAAAAATCATCCTTATGACTCCAGCCACTATAGTTCATCATAGTTCCATTGAGGTCAATGATTGTTTCTGAAGTGGAGATCATGTATTTTCCATTGACAAGATACTCACCATTTTTCCTCTTCAGGGCCAGGTAAGCTGTGAACCTGTTCTGGTCTTTTGCCTTGAACTGCCGGACTTTGATGTGAGTGGCTCCTACAGGTATTTTCACTATATCCGTGTAACCCTTACTGCAAGGAGAAAAGGCACATATGAAATAATTAGTAATAGACATGCTCTGAGGGCCTAATTCAAAACTCACTGAAGTCAACTGTTGACTTCAATAAGTTGACTCCAACTGTTGATTTCAGTGGGTTTTGAATCAGGCCTTGCAAGCATTCATCTTGAGGCCCATCTCACACTGATGCTAACCAATTAATTTGTAACATGTTGTTCATTATATATTTTTAAATTCTATTGTTAAGTCCTTGAAAAAACAGTTCCTTCAAATGACTTAATCTTTGTGGTTTCAGTAGTAATTTTATACAAGTTGGATTCAAGAAGAATGAATGATAACTCACAGTTTATGCACATCAAACTTGTATATTTGAGCATAGGATGGGAGATATGAAATTGGAAGCACATTAGGTCTGCTAAGAAAAGCAAAAGCCTAGATTTTGGGCAGCAAGTAGCCACATCCTACAGCTGACTCTTGGTAGCAGTCCTCACTCCCCATACAGAGCACCTATCCTATTCACCCTCCTACCCCTGACACCCTAATCATCTCTTGCTGCCTGATTCCCCCACTGCCCATGCACAGTACTTCAGCTCCACTCCCATTCAAATCAAGTTTCTGACACCTCTGTACGCACTAGTTACAGCTGTTTAATACTGCCTTTGCTATAATGATGATTAAGGAAACAGCGAGCAAGATAATAGCTGGATAAGGTACCTTGGGAACATTTAAAAATAATCTTGATCACCAAGAAAAAAATTTTTTCCTTTGAAAACTTCATAAAGCTAAAGATTAATTGCATAATATCCAATGAAAGATATGGCCAAATGCTTAATTCAAATAAATACAGCATCTTTACTTCATTTCTTGACCACTACTTGTAAGGTATCTTCTTTCAATTCAGATTTAGAAAGGGATGCTTACTTCTTATAGTTAAGGTCACAAGCATTCAAAACTGTAGGCTCTCTAAAATATAATTTCTCAAGAGGCATATAGTATATCTGAAGAAATAATAAATATATCATTATAAACTACCAGCTGGACTGCTGATATATTTGTTTTCATTTATAAATCTCTGTCATATAAGTTGATGCTGGAAGTATCACATTTGTGTTTGAAAAGGTTAGTTTAATATCTTTTTACAGTAAAAGGAAGGGACCATGAGAAAACACGATAAAAATATAAAAAAATTAAAAGGTCTCTCTGTGAGCGAGGTTGCTATGTTTGTGAAATTTAAATATTTCTGTAAAGATTAAGTAACTGTGCTCCTCTAGCTTAAGGACTTGGAAAAACAACAAGGAGTCCTATGGCCCCTTAGGGTACGTCTAGATTGCATCCCTCTGTCGACAAAAGGATGCAAATCAAGAATGTTGAAATTGCTAATGAAGTAGGGATTTAAATATCCTGCGCTTCATTAGCATAAACGTGGCCGCCACTTTTTTCTGACACGGAGCTTTTTTGAAAAAAAAATGGTAGTTTAGATGTGGATCTGTTGAAAACAAACCCTTTTTTCGACATATCCTGTATTCCTCAAAAAATGAGGTTTACAGGATCTGTTGAAAAAGGGTTTATTATTGACAGATCCGCGTCTAGACTGCCATTTTTTTCAAAAAAGCTCTGTGTCAAAAAAAAAGCAGTGGCCATATTTATGCTAATGAAGTGCAGGATATTTAAATCCCTGCTTCATTAGCAATTTCGACATGCCTAATCTACATTTCTCTGTCAACAGAGAGGTGTAGTCTAGACACACCCAAAGAGATTAACAGATTGATAAGGGCATAAGCTTTCGTGGGTGAAACCCACTTCATCATTAGAATTGGAATGGAAATTACAGAGGCAGGGGTATATATTTATAGATAATAGCATAACAAAGGAAGCCAGTTACTTATCAAGGTTAGGTCCAGTGTTAATAAGGCTAATTCAGTCAGAGTAGATGTGGCTCACTCACAGCAGATGAGGAGGAGGTGTGAATAGCAAAAGAGAAGAAATTGCCTTTGCAGTGAAATAACCAATCTAAATCCTTATTCAGTCCTATTTTGATTGTATTTAATTTGCAAATAAACTGCAGTTTGCTGTTTCTCTTTGTAATATGGTTCTGAAGTATTTTTGTAGGATGGCTACTTTAAAATCCATCACTGAATTACAAACAGGAGGCTGCCATGCAACTCTCCAACATCACATTCTACAGGCCACAATGCTCTGATCCCACTGAGGAACACCAAAAGAAACACCATCTGCTCCAGAAACTCCCTGCAATACCACAGAGTCAAATTTATGTAGACACACCCCTACAGGACCAACCAAGAGAATTCTATTTGTTATGCAAGAGCCATAAACCTGGAAATCCCATTATCTCAGACATTGGCACCCTTACAGCAGGGCTGTCTGGCTATGTGGACTCTTTCCTCAGACCCTATGCTACCTGCACTCCTAGCTATCTTTGAGACACCAATAACTCCCCGAGGAAACTACAGTGTATTAGTAGTCTTCCTGATAACTCCATCCTGGCCACCATGGATACAAAAGTCTCTATACCAATATTCCACATGACAATGGACTACAGGCTATCAAGATCAGTATCCTTGAAGAGGCCATGGAACATTTGGTGGCTAAGTTATGTGACTTTGTACTCATCCACAATCATTTCCGACTTGGGGACAATTTATACCTCTAAGTCAGCAGCACTTCTATCGGTAATTCCACAGTATGCCAATCTTTTTATGGCTGACCTAAACCAATGTTTCCTCAGCTCTCGTCCTTTAGCACACCTCCTCTACTTATGTTATGTTGATGACATCTTCATATGGACCAATGGGAAGGAGACCACTGAAGAGTTCCACCGCGATTTCAACAATTTTCACCATACCATAAACCTCAGCCTGTACAAATCAGTCACTTTCTGAAGACTACAGAACAAATAAATGATGGTTTCATAAACACTGCCATATTCTGGAAAACTACTGACAGCTACTCTTACCAACATGCTTCTAGCTTCCATCCTGGAGACATTGCACAATCCATTGATACAACCGGATATACTCCAATCCCTTAGATAGACAAACACCTACAAATCTTTATCAAGCACTCTTAAAATTAAAGTACCCACCTGGGGAAGTGAAGAAACAGATTGACAGAGCCAGATGAGTACTCAGAAGTCACCTACTACAGGACAGGCCCAACAAGGAAAGTAATAGAACACTATTGGTCGTTACCTACAGCTCCTAGATAAAACCGGTCCAATGCATCACTGACAATCTATCCTGGAAAATGATCCCTCAATCTCACCTTGAGATAGGCCAGTCCTCATGTATCGACAGCCTCCCAACCTGAAACAAATACACAACGGCAGCCACACATCACACCACAGAAATACTTACCCAGGTTCCTACCCCCTGAAACAAACCCTGTTGCCAATGCTGTCCAAACAAGTGGCTTCATCACAGAACCTAACCACAATATTAGGAGCTCATCTACCTTCAGATTCAGGAGTGTATTTTGGGCTGGATAGCATCACACTAGGAAAGTTTGACTACAGTTGTGCTTTTCCCAAGGTTTATGAGTGTACGTTTCTGAGGGCTGAGCTTGGGCTAGTCTTTATTCATAATATGCAATTATTCCCCTTGCTGTTTATTTTGCTAAACAATGCACTATAGATCATTTTATGCATATCCAGGGAATATGTGCAATTAATCACACTTTTAAACAATAGAATACCATTTATTTTAAATATTTGTGCATGTTTTCTACATTTTCATATCTATTGATTTCAGTTACAAAACAGAGGTAGGTTCCAAACAGGCTGGAGAAAGGCTGTTCACCGGAGTGATGGATGGCAGAACAAGGAACAATGGTCTCAAGTTGTAGTGGGAGAGGTCCAGGTTGGGATATTAGGAAAAACTATTTCACTAGGGGTATGTCTACACTACCCCGCTAGTTCGAACTAGCGGGGTAGTGTAGACATACCCCCACTAAGGTGTTATATTCCATCAGGTGCCAGCAATGCCCCTCCACCATGTATAGTGGCCAAATCAGACATTCTCCGTGACAAAGGATAAATGAATAGAAATCAAGAAAGGTAATATACAAAAACCTTTAGAAGAACACTTTAACCCCTCTGGACATTCAGTAAGCCTTACTCTACAGTAGGGACTTATTTCGAAATAACCCCCCTTGTTTCAGAATCATAAGCAGAGCATCCACACTACCAAAATCTTTATTTTGAAATAATGGGCTGGTTATCTGCTGCTGCTATTTTGAAATAACTACTCCCAAGAGTAATTTGAAGTAATTACTTCCCAGTGCTTCCAGGGGCTCTAAGTCAAGGTAGCGCATCCACAATAACGAAGCCTGACTCCGACTAATTTCTAGGCTCTCCCATAGTGGGGACACGCTATTTGGTTTTTGTTATTTCAGGAGTTATTAATTCAAATTTAGTTATCTCAAAATAATTTCCTAGTGTAGACATACCCTCATGGATTTAAAAGTAGCCAGCCTTCTTCAATCTTGAAAGCCAGATTACAAAGGAAAACAGCAGAACTGCAATTCATTTGCAAATTTAATACAACTGAATTAGAACTGAAAAAGGATTTAGACTGGTTATTTCACTACAAAGGCAATTTCCCCTCTCTTGGTATTCGCACCTCCCCATCAGTGGCTGTGAGTGCTCATATATATCTATATCTATATCTATATCTATATCTATATCTATATCTATATCTATATCTATATCTATGCCCCTGCCTCTATAATTTCCACACCAATTCATCTGATGAAGTGGGTTTTATTCATGAAAGCTTATGCACTAATAAATCTGTTAGGGCATGTCTACACTACAGTGTTATTTGTCTACACACAAAATGCATTTCGAAATAGCTTTTTGCTATTTTGAAATAGCGCATCCACACTGATTGGACGCTGAATCACATTTAAGGCCAGCCGGAACTGCTTCTGGCGGGGCATCAGGTCAGAAGTTACCTTGTGGCCAGGGCGGCCAGCAGGGTACCCTGAGAAGGGCTGGAGGCCCATTTCGAAATAAGTGTCTACACAGCGCTTATTTTGAAATAGCAATTTCAAAATTGGCGCTATTCCTCATGGAATGAGGTTTACCAATTTTGAAATAAGCCCTCCGCTATTTCGAATTAATTTCTAAATAACAGTTGGCTTGTGTAGATGCTAGGAAAGTTATTTCGAAATAACGGCTGCTATTTCGAAATAACTTTGCTGTGTAGACATACCCTAACTCTTTAAGGTGCCAAAGGACTACTTCTTGTTTTTGCAGATACAGACTAACATGGCTACCCCTCTGAGACTTAAGGACATGTGTTAGTCCATTGTTTTGTTGGAATAATTAATGGTTAAACTTGAGTTACAGTGCCAGGAATAATGCAGTACAGATAAAGTCAATGTACTGAAGCATTCAGCACTGCAGGAAATATTTACATAAAATACATTACATATTTACATAAAATACATATCCAAAAAGCTGCACTAAAATAATGTTATTAAGGTTACAAAGTCAAGAGTGAAAAAGTTAGGAAATGTCAGAATTAAGGCTCCTCATAGAAAAAACAGTATGTGATCATGTAATTAAAGACTGTATGATAATTCAAAGACATGACATTATACATATAGCCTCAATTCCGGCATTTTCTCAATTCTGAGAGCTGACTTTGCAACCTTAAAACTCTTTAACATTTTTAAAACCCTAGAGCACTACATAAAATGAATAAAAATGCATAAACAAATTTTATTATGTGAAATTACTATAACTGGAATTATTAGGTAAATTTAATATACGGGATGTTACTGTTTCCCTTATAAATACAAAAACAACTGCCACTGTTTTACTGCGAAGGATATACTGATTGGACAGAAACTAATTATACCATTAAGATGAGTAATAATTCTGGGTTTTTTTGTGACAAAGAGATTTTTTTAATGGAGTGTTTTCTTTTAAATTAACTATTGTAATTGTGATGGTGGTAAAACTTCTGATCAACAAGTCGTAAATAGTTTTAATTGAATAAAAATCCATCTTTGGTGGCCAGCATTAATCATAACTGCTAAGCTGCTTGGGAAATAAGTGTACGAAAGTTTGACTATTTTGGTATTCATGGGTAGAGTGTGATATACAGACAATAAGATATTGAAGCCAATATGCTTGATTTGAGCAAATGGTTATAGAAAGATGTAATTTGCAACCATGCCTCTAGACTTCAAGCGACTGCATCTAACCTAGCGAGAGACAGTATTAAACACATTTTGTGACTCCACAGGACCCTAACAAGCACAGGCCACCTGGAAAATGCACCATATCAGTGTTTCACCTGACTGCTTCAGCTCCAAGCCTTTCTGATTGATCCCCCATATTCTATATGACACTATCTCGGCTTCAGGCCATCAATGATTGCAGGGGGGTTGCAAAACTATGCCATTACTCTGGGCAGACTTTCCATTGGTAGGACTGGAGCCTAGGTTCATATCAGAATCTCAGATGGGATTTGGAGGCAATATTTTTCTCTGATTATTACCTACCCCACGTAGAGTTAGGAAACTTGTTTTAAACAGTTGGGAAGTGCAGGAAAACTTAAGAAAGGCATCTGTCTGGGATGTCTTATATGAATGAAATTAATGAATAGAAATCTGGCACCCAGTCTGACTTGTGCTTTTACAAGGTTTTACGAGCGGCACTTCTACTTTTGACTTAGACATGCCTACTCAGCAAACTTCATTTGTATCTATGGTTATAAAAACCCACCAATAATTCTGCTTGCACAAAAGGGTACATTTATTTCCATCCAAGATTATTACCTCTTTTTATTAAACGTTCCCATGACTTTTGTGCAACTGGAATTGTCTCCTCCACACACCCCACATTTGTCATACTGGAGCTTTGAACCGATGATGCCATCGCAACCAGTTCGAATGCACTTTCCCCGGACACATACAGAATTACTGTATGGCCTACATTCAGTTCCATCCGTCACCTGGGGAATTAAGTCTTTGTTAGTTAAATCTGCAAAGAAAAAAATTGCTTTTTTTGTATTTGATTGGCAAACATTGCTGTTTCTTTAGTTCAGTCATCCTACTGTGAGTTATCCAAAGCTGTATTATAAAGGGGCAGTTACTCATTGTGTTTTTAATAGTACCTACTGCATGTGTAAATTCTAGTTCTTTTCCACCTGTTTGGCATTTGGCGTGATGATTAACAGAATACAGTTCCTATTCTGCTATCCAGGTCTGCTGTATCTCAACTCTAAGGGCACTGAAGTAGCAGACACATGAACAAAGGGGCCATGGGCATCTGACATATGGCTCTTTTGTTAACCCTAAGGCACTAAAGCAGAAGTTCTGTTTATAATGATGAATTTATTAACAGCAATACTTGGCATTTAGAGACTGTTTTTCATCAGACCATCTCAAAGTACTTTATAGATTTGAATCAATGAAGCCTCATAACGTCTAAAAGAAGAAAGGCACATAACTAAAGATATACAGGAATCACTTCACTCTTGATTCTACCATGTCTGAAATAATTAATTCTGACTATATATAGGTCACATAAGAGACCACTAGCTTTAAGTGAGCTTCTCCAGATTCCACATATCAGTGCAGCTTGGATCAAAATGTATATGTTTATAGACATACACAGCAATTTCTTTCAACCAGAAAGATCCCAAAGAGCACTGTTGACACTAAATATAGAAACCTTTTAACCTACTACTGATGTGGAACTAGGACTGCCTGCATTAGCAAACACAATTTCACGTGCATCCACATGTTTAGATGTGGAGAACTGTGTCTAATTTTAGAGGTCAATTCTGACCCTAAAATTCTGGCTAAAAGTTTTCTACTTAAACAAAAGGTGTTCTTCTCGGTACCGCTTAGATACAGAGCTTTACAAAATACCCTTCAGAACCTAGAACAGAAATTGATACTGAAGGTACATTACCTTTTGAGAGAACACAACGTAGTAACCCGTCCCTTTGGCTCGGCAGGTGAGCTTGCATACATCTCCGGGAAGCACTCCAGCGTACTTAGGGACCCATTCAACAAACGTTTTGACACCCTTTGTGTCAGACTGATAGCCATTTCTCGCTTCACACTGTTCTTGTCGAAAGGCTTTAGCTGGAGAATTATCATTCATCTCATTAGTGTTTATTTTAGGATATACTGCAAGTGTCAGTATGCACAGCTACCTTCTTTGGTCATGTTTCATTCACACCATTCCTCCTCCTTGTCCTTGCACCTGTTAATGGCCTTTGCAAAATCCCCTGAATCTTTTATTTTGGCAATGTTCCCAGGACATTATAAGCATCTTAGTTACAAAATTCTGCTCATCCTGTTCGTTTCCCAAGAGTCGGGAGATTGTATATAGAATCCTCCTGTCAGGAGCCACCAGCCCTTTGCAGGGTTAATTACACTTTTAAATTTAATCTGGGTTACTGTGACTTTGTATCATTTGGAGCTAATGTTTCCACACTGCAATGCATTAGGGGGAAGCTATAATGGACATTTTATTTTCTCCTGTGGATTTAGTATTCACCATGTAACAGAAGCAAAGGCTATAACGTTAAGCAACTTTGGCTGCTGCAGAACATACCATTTGCTGGGCAGGATGCGACATTGCAGGAGCGATAGATGGCCCTCTTTCCAGTGCAGTACCGTCCGCTGTTTCTAGGAGCTGGGTTGTTGCAGTGACGATAGGCAAACTGAACCCCTCCACCGCATGTACGGGAGCACTGTCCCCAAGGCCCCCAAGAGCCCCAGTTACCATGGTTTGAAGCCTAGAATACACGAAACAGCGGGATATAAAAAGAGAGTCCAAATCTGAATGAAGATACATTTCAAAAGCACCATTGTTTCCAAAATGGCAGATGTTTTTCCTCTCATTTAAACTATGGCTCACTGTATATTAGGGCATGGGCTAACCCTGAGAAACTTTTCCCTTGCAGTCACATCCATGTACAGCCCCGGACCATCAAGTGTGGGGAGGGGACATGATGTCCAACGGAGGCAAGTCAAGGGCAGTATTTAGTCTAACTTTGCAGAACTGAATTCCACCCACTTCACTGTGAAAACACACTTCCATGTAAAGAAATCCTAATCCCATCTTCCATTCTTTTCTTTTAATAACTGTTCTTCTAGGTTCACTTCACTAAGTTTAACTCCACCCAGGTAATACGTTGCTATTATTGAACACTGTGATCCCTGAATAGTTAAGTAGTGCAGCTATATGGCACTGCGTGTGGTAAGGAGATATTGTTCTTCTTCATGGAGTCATTGTGCTACATTATCAGTTATATAAATAGCTATGCGCTGCCAATCTAAGCAGAATTATGAGACTCCTATTTGTCTTTTAGATTGCAAAAGAAATGTGATATTCATGGTATCTGTATCAAAATCACTTTTGTTTTCAAAGTGACACTTCCCATGCATGCCAGCTATCTCATAGAATGCCTGCCACATTTCTAATTAAACGAACTTCCTGAATTACATTACTATAATCTTCCCCAATTAAGAGACTGTCTTTAATTTATACAGAAAATAATTAGAAATACAGATTGAATTTCATTGCTGTTCTAAGATCAAGAGGCACAGGTAAAAACTGGCAAAACAGAGCTTGGCAAAATAAGTATGGTTATAGCAAATTCTCACCCAGTGAGCTAATGTGCTGAGAGGCTTTGGAATAAGACAGAGAACATTCAGAAAAGCTACATCTAAACAGCAGGGCTAAAGCTGAATTAAAATACACAACTTTAGCTACATTAATTGTGCAGCTGAAGTCAAAATAGCTTAATTCGGCTCTTGGCGCTGTCTCCACAGCAGGAAGTCGAAGGAAGAACACTCTTCCTTCAACTTCCCTTACATCTTGTGAAAAGAGGGCTACAGGAGCTGGAGTAAGAAGTCCTCCAGCTCGCTATTATTTCAAAATAATGGCTTGCTGTGTAGACGTGCTCTTTGTTATTTCAGAATAATGTCAGTTATTCCAAAATAATGCTGCTGTGTAGACGTACTCATACTGCCTGCGGCTAAGCCTGCCACTCTACTAACTTTGCTCAATTAAGAACAAAGCCTCTGTGCACAATGCAACACTTCCACTGTAACTGTACTTTTTACATGTATGCACTTTATACCCAGAGAATGGGTACATCATTTGAGGAAAATATAGTTATAAAGAGAATTAGGTTTGAATTATTCTAACATTTGTTTAACACTCTCACAGAGCTCTTTGGGATAGTGACCTCCTTTTTGGGTTTGTACTGTTTCTTGCACCAGCATTATATAAAGTGAACTTAGAGCAGTTCAAGATATGCACTGGACAATTGCACTAGAGAAACTCCACCACTGTGAAATGGAAGGAGGGGGCCCTATCACTTCTTGTCCTTGCTCTGATGCCTCCTACTCTAGAAATCTGCTCCTGGCATCTGGGTCATGTTGAAGAGGAGCTCCATTACACTCAATTATACACAGACATGAAGTCCTCATGGAACCTTTCTTCGTACATTAGAGCAATGTATATTTAACTTAAGAGAGCTGGGAAGCCATGAATGGGACCTGACAGCCCCTCCATTTACTGAGTTCCATCTCACTGCAGAGTCAGGTCTATCTCTCCTACAAGGGCAGCCCGTGAGCCTAGGCGAGCTAGGCAGCTGCCTAGGGTGCCGCTGGCCATGGACGGCTGTGCAGGCAGGGGCGCCGATTGTGCCGCCCCACCTAGGGCTCCAGCTGCTGCAGCCGGCCTCGGGTCGCTCCTGCTTTCTTATGTAAAAAGAGTTTTTCCTGTGGATGACAGAGCAACGTCATCACAACACTCTGCACCCTGCCTGCCTCCTCCATTCCTCCCCTTTCCCCAGTGCTCAGCTGCCACGTGGCGCCTGGGAAGGCTTAAGAGCAGCCTCCATCCCTAGAAGGGACCAAAGTCATGAGCCACGTGACCCCTTTCCTGTCCCCATCCTAGTGCTTGGGGATGGGAGGGGGGGCAAAGCCAGGAGATGTGCAGCTTTTCCACTCTTCCCTCCCTAGTGCTCCAGTGTGTGTGTGGGGTTAGGGCGCGAAGCCGCAAGCCATGATGCCCCGGGAGCCACACAGTCACTACCCTCGCCCCTCTCTGGAGCTCCAGGGAGGGGGGCGGAAGCCACGAGTCTCTCCCCCCCCGCAGCACCCTACACACATTCCTAGGTTGGGGGGAGAGTGGCAGCTGGGGAGGGGAGCGAGAAGGGGAAAGAAAGGGCTGGGCAGGTTCTCCCCAGTGGCCAGGGGGGTGGAGCCATGTGGCCTTCCCCTTCCCTTCTCCCGGATGCTTTTTTGGGGGGGGAGAGCCCTGTGGCCTCCCCCTTCTTCCATACTTTGGAGGGGGAGAGAGCCCCATGTCCTCCTCCCTCCCTGGTGCTCTGGGGAGATGAGCGGGAGTCTCGCGGCCTCCCCGCTCTCCAGTACTCTGGGAGGGATGAAGAGCTGTGCTGCCTCCCTCCTCTCCACTGCTCCAGGGAGCAGGGCTGGAGCCATGCGGCTTCCCCTTTCCCCAGTGCTGGGGGAGGGATGGGAACTTCACGGCCTCCCCACTCCCCAGTGCTCTGGGGGGAGGAGGGAGCGGGACAGGGTTTGGATATACGGACGTTAAATACTGGATATTTGAATAGTCAATTAACCTCATGAATTCTTATTGGTTAGCCAACTATTCTATAGGTCTCTGGGGGCGGGGCCAGTAGGGTTGCCAGGTGTCCAGTATTGACCCGGACAGTCTGGTATTTTTGCTTCCTGTCTGGTAAAAAAAAATCAGAAAATACAAGACACCTGAAATGTCTGGTATTTTCTGGGTTTTTTTTCCCTGCCAGGAGGCAAAAAAACCAGACACCAGGCAACCCTACGATACACTCAGCAACTAGGCCCAGCCCTCGGCCCCCCTGCTTACTTGGTTTCGCAGGGAAGCTCCCTCTGGCTCGACTAAGAAAACAAGACGGGCCCCGGCAAAAAGCCTAACGACCTGAGCAAGGGGAAGCAATGCCTTCCCTGGGTCTTAGTGCTCATCCTCTCCTCTTCCTATCCCTATTTTGACTTTGCATGAACTTAAAAGGGCCATGCTGTTTTATTTTATTTATTTTTTGCTTAATAACTCTTGGGGTCCTTTTTTTTTTGCTCAACAACTTTGGTCTCCCCCCTCATCAGAATTTTTCCCTGGTGTTTTTATTTTGGGGCGGGGGGGTTGTTCGGTATTTTTAGTTAAACCGTCTGGGAACTCTAGGGGCCAGCAGCCAGTGAGCTCTGGCGTCACTCCTGAGGGGTCCTGCCACTCTATGCTGCTGTCTCTACATCAGAGGCAGCAGCGTGGGGTATGAGGTGGGAGCTGGTTCACAAGGAGAGCTAGTTTAAAAACCAGCTCCCCTCATGGACTGTTGCCCTGTGCTGCTGCCTCTGATAAAGAGGCAGCAGCGCGGGGTGGCAGCAACCCCTGTCTAGGGGGGTTCCTGTGTGAGCCGGAACTGAGATGGGCTGTCCGCCCACCTGACTCCTAATATCCTTTAAATACAAAGCCGCAGTGGGAGTAGGTCCTGAACCCATGGCAAGCCAGGACTGAGCCAGGCTGCTGGCCAGCCTGCTAAAAAATTTACTGGTAGGGGAAATAGGGAGGGGAAAGGAGGGAAATGCATGTAGTCTACAGCATTAATCTATAAGCTTTTGCTTATCGGTTAATTGACTATACTATTACATCCCTAGTTGTTGAGTGTAGCAAGCAGGGGGCACACACCCTTGTATTTTAAAATAATGTTCTGTTTTCCTAGGGTAAAGGCTCCATTATCTTGGGAAAAGAAAACATGCTTTCTGACGTTCAGCAACATTTTTCCAAAGTGATCAGGAGAGAGTATCCAGCAACAATTTAACTGTATATGCAATAAATAAGAAGTCAGTTTTTACTCTCTAGACTATGGGAGTAACTCTGCCAGTGCTACTCTTTAATACCCTTCCCCCCACCATTAAAATCAGTACATTGCAGGATCAGGTCTTCTAAGATTTACCCATGGTTTGGCCCTTGGAGCAATAACATACCGAATAATATTTCTTCTTAGTTTTGTCAACACATTTTCCTTGGAGGCAGATCCTTCCTTTCCCACATGGTGTCCCCTCCACAGCAGGAAGCTTCTTGGTGAGACACACCATCTGTCCTTGGCGAACAACTGCACACCAAAGGCGAGAGCATACATCCATACCGGGACACACTGTGTACTCAGGTCCAAATGCCAGTTTGCACTGACGAATAGCATCATATGTTTGTCCTGGAAGCTCCTCAGGGCCCAAGATCTGCTTTCTTGGTTGGTCGAGTAAACAGTTCCCTGAAAGAACAATCCAATTTATTACTCATTTCCTTTGTTATCTGTTTTATAGGACCTTTAGCTTTCAAGCTAGACAAAGTGATAATGATTATGGATCTGATCCAAACTTTAATGAAACCAATGGAAATACTCCCTTTGAATTCTGTGGGCTTTGGATCAGGCACTGTTACCACAACTGGGTTCTCTATCTCCAGGGATTAAGTATCAAACTCTTGTTTGCCTATCTATTTATTTCATCTTATGGTGAGGCCTTCCTCCCTTCCCTGTAAACATTTGAACACAGAGTTGCACTGAGGTAATTTGGGACTTGCATTGTGTTTTACTGTTAGTGGGTTCCACTCTATTTATCAATCTGTGATTTGAGACATGATCAAGAGACATATAAAATAAGCAAAGCTGTCGTTTGAATTTTGAGCCAGAACATTTGAAAAGGCAAAACTTCTAAAGGAAAGCCAGAAAAAGCCTGAAAAAATAGAATTGTAGCCAGTGTGGCCCTTTAAGAAAAAAATCCATCAATTTAAAGAAAAATATAAGTAGCACATCAAAGGTTACGTTGGTGGCAAATTTGCATTGGGCTTTTTATGTAAGGGATCACAGTTAGCCACTTCTGGACCCAGTTTGAACAGTTTCTATTAATCTTTACATAAAAAAAGAAAACAAATTGAAGTATAAGATAGACCACTGCTATTTGCAAATGCCAAAGATCTGCCTGACTCCCTCTCTCCTTAAAAATCAAAGCTACTTTCACATTTTTCAGGAATCCTGTTCTAACATTTTTTTTCACATCACTGACAAACTCACATGCTGACATGGGGAACTTGGTCTTCACTTTGAACTCTGTCATATAATGTGGTATGGCCATATTTTACTTATCCTCAGCCAAAATAACTTACCACAACCCATCTTGCTTTGCAACCAATGTTAGCACCACCCCTGCCTGATTGTGGGTAAAAAAAATGTATAATATAAACACTTCAGAATTACAGTAGCATATGAAATATGAGAATTTAAAGTCTGGCATCAAATTTCAAAACTTAGTTTAGGAGCTTTAAAAATGAAAAACATGTTTCATTTCCCTCAAGAAAACAAATGTTTGCTTTCCCTAAAGACCTCTTTTTCATGAAGACCACTAAGGCCTCTTGACAGCTAAATTCAGCCAAAAATCCTTTCAGCATCATCACTTATTTATTACTGAGAAGACCAATCTCATTAAATTTGTTGCTCCATTTGTCCTCTTGTGGCCTTGACTTGCCTAATATGCAGATCTTATCTTTAGTCTGGACTACACTGCCTTTTTAAAAATGAAAACAAGGTGTGCTTCTGCTAACAGATAGGCTGGTGTCCCAAGATAAGTCAGTAAAAAAATCCTTCAGTGCAGGGTATTTTGTAGCATTACATATTAAAGACATAGTGGAGATTCGAACGAGGGGGGGTAATGTAGTCATACGGAATTGCAAATGCAGCCCGGGATTTGAATTTCCTGGGCTTCATTTGCATAAAGCCGGCCGGCGCTATTTTTAAATGCCGGCTAGGTCGGACCCCGTGCCGCGCGGCTACACGCGGCATGGACTAGTTCCACGAGGCGTACTGCTAATTCGGATAGGAAGCCTAATCCGAACTAGGTAGTCCGTGCCGCATGTAGCCGTGCGGCACGGGGTCTGACCTAGCCGGCATTTAAAAATGGCGCCGGCAGGCTTTATGCAAATGAAGCCCGGGAAATTCAAATCCCAGGCTTCATTTGCAACTCCGTATGACTACATTACCCCCCCAGTTCGAACTAGGGGGGTAGTGTAGACATACCCTAAGACACACAGATGTTTTCTACAAGGGCAGGGCTGAGGTTTCTAACTGGAAAACAACAGCTGGCAGCAGTTTCTCTCAAAAAAAGTTTCGTAAAAATAATAACAAACACCCGAGCAATATCTGCCCTCTGCCACACCGTTCATGTGCTTCCTGTGATAGAGGATGCTACTATCACTTTGGGATACTGACAAGCAAAGGCTAGCTTGTTAGACTTAGCTGTATTCATTACTATTAGATATACATAGTGCTTATCAAACTCTAATGACAGAAATTATACAATATTTTAAATCATATGGCAAAATAAAACAAAGCTACCATAGTAGTAACAAACACTCCTTAGACCCCAATGGCTTCAATACACATGAATTATTCATTGAATGTTAACACATTAACTGACATTATTGAAAAGGCTAATCTAGACAGGACACAATCATTTCCATTAGCCTTTGGATTAACAATGACCAGGTACAATGATTGTGTCCTATACACTAGACTTTTCAGTTGTGTTAGTTATCACATTATAAAACCCAATTGTTAATTCAAGAAAGAGATTTTTTCATATGACCCCTCATGCCCATCAAGCTCAGGCTTTTTTAACTGGGTGGGAAGTGATTTCCAGAGAATGTCACTGCAAATACCCTTTTACCATCCCTTAAACAAGTCTAGGGACTATAAATTTGGACCTTCCAGCTGATCTCAGCTGAGAGGTTAAACATGAGATGCAGGAAATCTTGAAGGCCTTGTCTACCCAGACATTTTCTCATTTTCTTTACATTTCCACTGTTGTTCTCTCTCTATATATATATCTCTGAGCTGCTACAATGTGTTCTGCAAGGAGACTTTTCTGCAGCTCTGCACCCATTATGTCTGAATGAATGGGTAGAGACTTTTGCTCTGCCTGACAGCATTTTGGAGTCAGTCTTTCCACCTATCTATGCTGGGGCTCTTGTGCATTTCAAAGCAGAAGTGCCCACGTGGAGCCCGGGGTCAATGTGACAGAGGCAGCAAGGGGGAGGGCGGGAGGGAAGCAAGTAGCTGACTAGTGTGTCAACTATCCGATAAGCTTTTGCTTATCGGATAGTTGACTAGTCGATTAGTCGCTTACATCCCTAGCTGGCACAAACTTTTGCAAAGCCCTGAAAATTCAGTGCACGTAGGCTCTGTTTATATACCCTAGCCTTCAAAAATGGCTTCATGATCCAATAGTGTCCAGTGCCTTAAGTGAAATCATTTGTACATTGTATGCTATCAGCTGTTGAGCAGTGATTTCAGTGAACCTGTAGCGTAAGTTATTCTTTTACATTTACAGTACTGCAGAAAATCAGCCTAACCTACGCAACTCCAGCTACATGAATAACAAAGTTCGAATCAACATAAATTAGGTTGCATTACCACAGACTCTACACTGCAACAGGTCAATGGGAGAAATTCTCCTGTCTACTTCCCTTACTCTTCTCATCTGGTGTAGAATAGTGGGGTTGATTGCAGAATGATTTGTGGACGATTTGGCAGGTCTTAAGTAGATGTGCTAAATCGACCGCCAGTGGATTGATCTAAGAATGTCAATTAAAGCTGTAGTATAGACATAGGCTAAAAGATTCCCATTCCTGGTACACTGAATGCATTGCAACAATGTTATTCAGGGAAATATAGCGGTTTAGATTGTATGGTAAGATTGCTTTTTTGGGAGTGACATTTGATTTCATAGGTTATGTTTATCTTTTGTCAATATAAATCTTTGATTTAAAAATAGATGAACGATCCCTCCCACAGGGGAAATAGAAGAATGAAATGGAACTCTATTAGAAAAAATGTCTTTGTTTAGAAAATATGTCTCAAACAATCAGACTGCCCGAGCTTCCACAGGGACTCCATTAGGATTTTGAAGTAAATGGAGCAATGCCAGGCATAAAAGTAGCTCACAGGTCAGACTGTGGATTTCTGTGGGACTCTTCGTGCTCACTAGAGTAAGGACAATAAACCTGATGCAACCATATTAAGTGAAAGCCAAATTCTGAGAGCCTTCCTCATTTTGTTTAGTACATTACCATTATGGGAGAAGGGGCACCAAAATCTTCAGAATGTGTTGTGTGGTAAGGTACTACACATTCTGAGTAAGGGGATTGGAACATGGCTTGAATGATTTGGGGCCCACGGAAGTAAACAGCATAAGATCCTTGTCCTGATTGTCACAACTCCAGAGCTGAGATGGTGACTCCAGCCCCGAGGTAGGGAGCATTAAACGCTTCTCAATGTAAGCAAGCAGGCATCAAGGAGTGCACAAGGAGCCTTGTCTTTTCACTCAGCCTGCTTGTCCCTCACAGTATGGGTTCACAGTATAGGGAGATGAAGGGATGAAAAGGAATAAAGTAACTTCCTTCCCAGATAAAGGTGAGGGGAAAGGGGATAAACTGTGGTTTTGAATCACAGTTCATTCTTTTGTCAGCTCCAGGTGTGACACAGCTACATGATACAGATCTGCTCTTGCACATGTGGAAACTAACCTGTTAAAATTAAATCAATGCCAAAGCGATACGTACCATAACACAGGACTGCCCTAGATTAATGGCGCTCATAAAATTAGGAGAGGGAAAAAATGAAGCAATTTTCCAGATACAAGAATAGGATTAAGCATTTTGGACAGCCCTGAAATTAGCCAATAAAATATTTACTTTATTTCCTTTAAAAAAAAACCTCTGTACATTTTGCAGGCATGCGGTACCTTTCATCCATAAGTATTGCAGTTACCATAACAACTATATCCATTCACTCAATTACATAATTTTTATCTCAACATTTTGGAATTTGCATGGCTTCTTTAAGAATTGCAGCTGCTTTGTAAGCACAATGAACAATTTAAAATACATTTAGGATTATTGATGATACTTAAAAAAATCCTCTTTTTATTAAGTCTAAGTTACAATAAAATGTTAACATACCACATCATATATTACTTATTCTGGACCAGTTTAATAATTAAAGACATTGACTTAAGAGTTGCTAGAGGAGGAGCCCTTCTCCTCTGAGTATGCCACACATTTCTAAATAAGTACCTTGTTTTGGTAATAAATAGAAAATGAGTTTTGTCTTCTAAAGTACTCTGTAGTAGACTGTAAGATCCCTGGAGCAAAAGTTGGTTTTTTATTTCGAGTGTAAATAGTGCCTAGCACAAAGCAGTCCTAATTCCTGGCTGGCCCTTATAGGTAGTAACATGACATAAATAAAAGAAATGAGTAAGTAGTACGAATAAAGCTTCAAAGTACTGTATAGCATCTTCACTTTTTTTAGTCAAGTATCTTATAACCTTTCATCCCCATTTTAATTACTTGATAATCCATGGTGTTCATGCATGTTTAAGGTAAAATGCTCACAGAACTCTCCCTTCTTCATCACTTGGAAGCAAAACAGTAACACCGTGGTTGTTAGCTAAACTTCACCAATGTTCCCAGTGAAAAAGTCACAGACCATAATTCACCTACATTCTATTCAATGCTTATCTGTGTTATCATGCAGGCTACTCAAAGGGTGAGTTTCTGCCATGTTAGGGTTTGTCTGCAGTGCAACCTGGGTATAAATCTATCTTGCACCAGCTTGCTGTGTACTAATTGTTCATGTGGACACCACGCATTAAACATTCCACAGTGTGCTTTGATCTACACCACTTTGAAACAGGAGTTGATTTGCAGCCCAGCCTGCCACATGCTAACTGTTCATATGAACAAGCTCCTAGGCATGCTGCATACTACCTAGCACTTGCAAGTCGCTGGATGGTGCTGCTCAATAGGAGTAAGGATGACATAATCTGTTCCTGACATAACATAAGAGTAAGTTTTTGGTAAACATTGCTGTGCTATATAAAAAGAGTGTGCAAACACAATAGGTATAATAATACATACCATGACCATCATCCAAAAATTCAGTTATGGTTGCTGACGTGCATTTGGACCAAGGTTTGGAAGCATCAATGCTAGTCAGGATGGAGGACATTAAGCGCTTATCTTCCATGGAACCGAAGTTCTCCTCACAGAATTTAGAGTCGTCATGGGAAAGCCCAAGCAGGTGCCCTGTGGGAATGAAATTAGGAAATGTAATTATATTATTTCCTGGTGGATAGGATTTTAGCAGCTGATGTATATATTCAGAGAGGGATGCCTCAGTTCATACCCTTCATTTTCAAATCTAAAATGACAACATGAAGATGACTTTTAAACGTCCCATGGGTTAGATTCTCAGCTCGAAGACAATAGAGTTCTGCTAATTTACATCAGCTGAGACATAAATGGAGCAACACTGTTTTGTGTCAGATGAGGATGTGGTCCTTAGAGTTTCCAGGATCAGGGTCAAAAGGCATAATAAGGGGAGAAACAGTGATCTCTACAAATACATTGACATTCTGTGACTGACTGATCAGGAGAGTGCCCAAGATGAATACCTCTGAGAGTGCTCAAATACCAGATTTACTCAGCCGCTAAACTCAGCAACAACATCTACTTCTTTCAGTCCTGTGAAGCAATGTGCTCACTCTCTTCATTCAAAGACATGCTCTATATCAAGAAAAGATAAACCCTACATACTACAGCATAAATGTTCAGCAGAGTTTAGCTATACAACTTTCTTTAAATGTAATCAGTCTCATATAGTTAAAACCTTTACATCACAATGAAAATTGTTCCCCATTACTATCTGCTGTAGCATTGTGCTATTATGTGGTAATTCAATGTAAATAATACTATACAAAAGTATGCTTTAATTCATTCACTACTGTAACAATATATTAATCAAATATATGAAATTAATGTCTAATTATAGACTTGTGATAGCTGTTGGAAAATAGTCATTGTTTTTTTCTCTGTAATATTAATATTTTCCTTTGGGAATATTTAATATGTGTGAGCCATATTCTTCTATCCTCTCTTCGCAGTAAGGCTGTACTTGTGTTTTAGGATTGGCAATTCTGGCCCCATGTTACTACATAAATACCCCATGCAAACACCAGTTTAAAAGAGCTGACAATTTTTTTGTTTAAGGCAATATCAGTGCTGTATAAAACTTATTAGCAATATTATCTTAATATTATATATATCTCTTAGAAAGAGTGATGTTTAATCAATATGCCATTGGTAACCTATATAACACATTCTGTAATGTTATAGACTGCTAAGTTAGTTGCTGATACCCTAAGCGAACAATGAAGGCTCTATGATGTTTTGCTTGTGACTTTGCCAAAAAGCACTGCAAGTCCTTACTCAAACAATGAGCTTCTTCAAGAAAACTGAAGATAGTGCTTCTTTTTGCTGTCTCATCATATGATATTATCTGTTCCCAGTACTTGTATCATATTAATTAAATGAGTGTCAGGCACCAGACTGTATTCAACGTCTGAAAAGAACTCTGGGTGCAATACAACTGACATAATAATAAAATCTGACTCACGCAAGCCTCTTAGCCACTGTAACTAGAACTGTTTTATGCTGACTTGTTAAATTACCGTCTTGTAACAAATTTACACTATTAATTCTGATAACTCTGCTGACATGTTGCAGGGGTGTTGGTCAGTTTTTAAAGAGAACTACTGGCTATTATTGTGGCTAAGTTAAAAGAAATTGTTGATGCATATATATATTTTCAATCAAAATAATAGAAATATTAGCACAAAAATAAGTAAAAAGAGCCCAACAGTTATGAGAATGCCATACTGATGAGGTCATAATGTATGGCAGCTTCCCTTATAGACTACTTGTGCAGTTGATAAAAATTCTAGCAACTATATAAGCAAATTACCCATTTCTTAACATCCCTAGTACTAAGGTTACATTAATTACTTTCAGAATTTGCCCTATTTGTTTGTGAAATAAAGCATTCAAATCCCATTAACTACAAGAGAAGCTGCACTTCTAAGTCTTTGGGAATTTCTAAGTCCATTTGCCCTTAAGGGACTATAAATATTCTTATGATTGCTCCAGAAAGTAGGGATACATAAGATTGCATGGCACACGCTATACATTAAGTATCTGGATATGGATAACTATGGAGTGTGAATCAGCAAGTAGAAAATGGGAAGACTCACTGAAGTTAATATTAAGCATCAGTGAGGTTAAATTAAAAATATGTTTATATTGTTATATTTTCCCCAGTATGTTACAGGGTAACAGCAGGAGCACCACAATGCTGGCCCTATAAATATATGCCATCTGCTCTTGTCATCCAATCACTGCCTAACAAAATTAATGGTGACTTAAATCACCCAATGGACTACTAAACTTTTCACATTTGCAAGTGCTATAGTGAATCAATGTCCCACGTTGTCCACTGGAACTATTCAAGATTTATACCCATATAGACGAGATCAAAGTCTGATTCTAAACAGATAATATCATCGAAGCAACTAACAACAGAATCTGGCCTCTTGTTTTAGGAGCAATATAGCTTCTTGGTTTTTTTCATTTAAGACTATAACTCAGTACCACAACTCATGAATGATACTGTTGCTTGGGAAACAAATCATTCTCTTCAGATTAAATCATACTGGGTTTCTTATCTCAAAGTAAAAGTCTTAGATGATTTTGAAGCTTGTTTGTATTGCTACAATTCTATCAACTAAAGCAAATTTAGAGAAGGAAGAATCAGTTTCTGACGTGTTTAAAAAGTGAGAAATGAATTCTGTCAGAAAACAATTTTAGTAGCTTACTGATTTCTGAGGTATTTAAATTGTAATTTCAATTTTATTAGGTAAGACAGACAAAGAGTGGGGGAAAGTTAGTATTACTATCCCTCTTATACAGGACGGGATCAGGCATTACTGTTGCCTCTTCCCATGTGCACCTTCTTTTCTATCCATCCATACACCTATTCAGCATCCCTTCTGTAAAATCAATCTCTCTCTCTCTTTCTCTCTCTCTCTCTCCCTCACATACACACACACACACTGACATGATAAGAATAATAGGGTGGCAAAATCAAGCACTCAGACACTAGGGAATGCCTGAATTAGGTTGCACAAGCAATTTTAATTTCAGACCCCTGTGATTCTGCATTGTCAAAGTCTTTAATTACATGCTCACATACAATTTCTTCCACAAGACTCCTGTCTAATTCAGGGCCCAAACCGAACAAGTGCTAAATCAGTTTGATGTGGTGAAGGAAGCTGTTATTTGTAGGACCGTTCTTCATTTGTTGAGAAAGTTAGAAGATGTCTGGGTAATGAAGTAAGGGACTGTGGGAACAGAAAAGATGAGTAAGACAGTCAAATGATGCCCTGGGATCTGGATTCTACCTTTGTCTCTGCAACAGAGTTTCTATGAGATGCAGGGCAAGTCAACTAAACCATTTCTTTACAGTGGTCCACTAATTGTGTGTTGTCCATTTTCTTGGCACTTAATATGAGACTCTCTGACCTGAATTTCAGAACTGCTGAGAACTCACAGTTGAAAAAGAGCAAATGTTGTACTCTGCAAAATGCTAGGAATGCATAAAAATCATGTCATAGGTGTCTCAAATAGTGACCCCCATTCAGAAAATCTCTTGACTTTTCTCTTATTGCCTCAGTTCCCCATATGTAAAAATGGCAATAACTATCCTCATCACACTGAGCTGATAGGAAAATAGCATGAATATGACTGAATTAAGAACCAGTATTTGCAAAATATTAGCTTTTTTCCATCAGCCCCACCAAAGACTTGAATGTGACTACTAGAGCCGGTTGAAAATCAGGTGCATGTTTGTGAAAAATTCCTCTTTTTTTTATCCTTAGCTCCAAATTTTGAAACTTTTGGATCAGCTCTACAGCAGGTCAAAAACGAAGATGTATCTATACTGGAAATGTGCACAAAACATCATTCTTTTTTTTTTTTAAATCCCATCAAAAGTCAGAAAAATGTCAACCAGCTTCAGTCTCCAGACACTGCTTCTTAACACAGAGCTGGAGGCAACACAAAGTATTCTACATCTAAATGCTGTTAAATCCAGCGAATGTAGAAAGTAGACTCCTCCCTGTTGCCTGAAGAGCACCCCCCTCTTCCTCACACACATGGCCAAGAGCACATTCACATTCTCACACAAATGTATAGACACTAGGATAGCATACTATGGATGGGGAAGAATGGCTCTGGTGGTTACTGCTAGGACATTTCCTATTAGAAGTGTCAAATGGACATAGTGAAGTCACAAGAACTGTCTCCATTTTTGAAGTATAAGCAGGCAAAACCCCACCAAAATCTACAGGTAAAAAACAGACTCTTGGAAAACTATTCTTTTAACAAGTGTTGTTATAAACGGTGCCAACTGCAGCATGATACTATTTTGTACTACTATGAACATTAAGTCAGAAAAGAAGAAGAATACTAAAAAAAAGGCTCCCAACAGCTGTGTGTTATTGACTGACTGAGATTGGATTAGTAGATCATCTTATGTATTTTACTTAATGAAACATCTTACTGGTGTTGACAGTTCCCACTGAGTGTAAATGACATAATATCATTTTCCCAGAAGGATGGTTTTAGTTATGTTATGCCTCAGGAATGCTGAAGAAACAGAGAGTAGCTGATGCAAGGTTCCCTCTGGTGCACACTAGTCTTCTTACAAATTAAACTTCTATTAAAAACAAAACAAAAAACCCAAAACACCAAAAACAAAAGAGAATCTAAATATACTCACAGCCAGTTCTACAGGGGTTTGGAATGGGTCCCATATGAAGAGAGATTAAAAAGACTTGGACTTTTCAGCTTAGAAATGAGAAGACTAAAAAAGGATATGACAGATCTATAAAATCAAGACTGGTGTGGAAAAAGTGAACAAGGAAAAGTTATTTATTTAGTTATTTCCACAATATAAGAACGAGGGGTCACCAAATGAAATTAATAGGCAGCAGGTTTAAAACAAATAAAAGGAAGTTTTTCTTCACTCAGCACACAGTAAACCTGTGGAACTCCTTGCCAGAGGATGTAGTGAAGGCTCGGACTTTAACAGGGTTCAAAAAAGAGCTAGATTGATTCATTGAGGTTAGGTCCATCAATGGCTATTAGCCAGGATGGGTAGGAATGGTGTCCCTAGCTGCTGTTTGTCTGCA